ATAGATATCATGCTCATAGGATTAAAATCAGTTTCAAACCTAGAGATCATGCCTATAGGATTTAAGTCGGGTTAGTAATTAGAAAGCATGCCTATAGGATTAAAGGGAAATACAAGGCTATGAAACATGCCTATGAAGCTAAAATCAGTGTGCATCTAGAAATCATGCTCATAGGGTTAAAACCATTTCGACATTAGATATCATGCCTATATGATTTTATTAATTGGTTCGGAATACAAGCGCCATTGTAAATCACTTAGACAATATGCCTATAGGACTTAATAATATTTCTGGATTCTGTAAGCGTGATGCATTACTGTTTGAAGTACCCAGATGATATTCATTAAAATCAGTAGGCAAATAATAGGTCCTAATACTCGCCTCAATAAAACTACTTCTATATAACACTACTCGCCTATTTCTCACATAGATATCCTGCCTGCAGAATTTTAAGATCGATAAAGATTGTCAATTAATTGCGTGCATTTGCTGTTATGTGCGGAGGTTAACATGAGCCCGTATTTGCTTTGTATTTGCAAGAAATAACATGTTTTGTTTGTTGCCTATTCCTTTTACATTTTGAGCAACCTATGCTTAGTATAGAACTATCCCAATTAGAGGTCCTAATACCTCTAGGGCCATAGGTAAGGGACGGGTAGTGCACGCATATGAATCAACCTAGAATCAATTGGAGCACTTCAGGTAACAACTCAAAGATAGTAATCGGGTAGCAGGAGATGATAGTCTGTGACCGTTGAATAATATGAGTAACACCCCGACTCCAGGGAGTTACGAAGTATTATTTATGTTGCACGGGGTGATCCTTTAGGCTAAAAAATTTAGGACCCCCCCATACCTATTAACTATTCCTCTAACTTCTTTATTAGACTAATTCATAAGTTAAGTTCGGCCGGGACCCACCGTTGTGGACCTCGGGGGGTACCTAATACCTTCGCCTCAAGGTAATTCCGAGCCCTTACCCGATCTCTGGTGACGCAAGCTAGTATAACATGAGTTATCTGCTCTAGATGCCCTAACGCACCTTAATCCGTTAGGTGGCGACTCTAACCAATTCCTTTTTCCCTACTCTCTCAAAGGAGTCAACAAATGTTGAAACCCGATTTCGCGAGAAAAAAGGGGCGCGACACTCCCTAAACATGTCTAAGAGAGATGAGGGATGTATTTTAGAGGAAATTCGACCTAGAGGGCGAACATTATTGGAGAGTCAAGAAGGCTACGAGAACAGGTCGAAGTAATGAATCACAAGAGTTTTCTCTTCCAGTCTTCCTTAATCTATATTTTAATTCTTTCAATTATTATCATAATTTGTTAGTATGGTTATGAGTAGAAAACTTTCCTATCTAGGGTTTTGATGGAACCTTTTGTAGGATGAATTCTTTTTATGTTTAATATTTTTTGCCGTTGGATTTTCTCTTCTTGTTCAACTACGTTATTTTAGTTGATTGAAGGGACCTCAATTGGCTTTGTCTATTTAGTGTGTATTGCTTGGAAAATAGTACATATTTAGGTAGTTGTTGAACAACATCACTCCTAACGTATGTGAGGAAGCAATATCTAGGGTTTAAAGATGAGATTAGGAATAACGAAACCTTGGTGCGATCTTAGTGAGCGGTGAATTAGTGACAACTAGCGTTGTTCGTAAGAATATGTCTAGTAAATTGTGATAGTTGCTCGAAAGAGAATTACGACACCTGAAGTACTCACGATCGGTGGAAAATACTTAGGCAAAATAATAGAAGACGTAGCGGAAAATATTCCTACAATTAGGGAAATCATAACTTTAGACCTCCTTAATGTTGTCTCCAACCCTTAGTATCCCTAGTTATTAATCTACTAATTTAATTTGTTAGTTACTTAGATACAAGAATCTTATTATTTATAACTTAGGAATCATTCGAGCTTGTTTTCTTAGTGATAGTAAACAGTTGTAGCTAAACCTTAGTTCTCTGTGGGATTCGACTTCAGACTTTTAGACCGGATTATATTTGCATCGAACGCTTGTCCTTTTAGAACTAGAGTTGGGCGTGATCAAATTTTGACGCTATTGTTGGGGAGCTAAAGGTTTAGCTGTAGCTGTACATATTGCTACATTTCAAGTTTGAACTTTTTTGTTTTGTTTTTATTTTATTCTACTTGTTGGTTTGAGAAATATGACATCTTGGAATTATGGGAGTTTAGGTGTTGGTAATTCTATTATTGATCCACATATATATTGTGAAGGAAATCACCGGTGGCAAAATTATTAAAATATTTGCGAGAGCGAGTTATGTGCACCAACTCAATCTTATGTGTATATATGTGATGTTTGTAGTGGTCAAGATATTATGTTTTACCTATGCGATCTTGTTACAATGTTCTTTTTTTTTTACAGAGATTTCTGGTGAAAACTTCAATCTTGTAGCATGGGAAGGCGAACAGAATGTCCGAGGAAGGAGAACTAGCTAAGCTTCCACACAAGTGAAGGAAGGTCACTTTTATGATTGTGCTTGTATTTCTTATCCTCCCCCAACCACTTATGATGATGGTTCTACATTTTCATGTGAAGTTAATAGGAACAAAGAACTTGGGGAAGCTGACCTGAAGGAGATCAAAGATAAGCTGAAGTGTCTTGTGGAACAATATGTTGAGAAACCAATACAGATACAAAGGCAAGAGGCAACTATTTACAACTTGGAGGCTCAAGCTAATAAACTAATTGAACCTGGTAAAGTGCAATAAGCTTACAATGTGGATAATAGCCAAGAAGAGCATGAATTGACTGCAGAAATTGTCATTATAATGGAGGAGTTGAGAGTAGAATATGACCAAACCAACCAACTAGAATTTTATAATGTCGATGTTGAAGAAGTGTTACCGGAATCAACTGAGGACCTTACAGATGTCACACCTCCTTTTTCCCAAGGAGGATAGGGAGTTTTTCCAATTTAAGCGACATTAATCGAAATAGGATTATTTTATTTATTTCAGAGTTGCCACTTAGGATAATTTATGGTGTCCCAGGTCATCGGTTCATTTTAAATCCCAAATCGAGGAAATTGACTCTTATTTATGGTTTGCGAACACAGAAGACCGGGTAAGGAATTCTGCTAACCCGGGAGAAGGTATGAGGCACTCCCGAGTTCCGTGATTTTAGCACGGTTGCTCAACTATTAATAATTGGCCTAATTACCTGATTAATTACATGTTTTAAACCTATTGTGCATTTTTAACTTTCAACCGCTTTTAATTATTTATTTAAACGCTTTTAGTTGTTTATGGAATTTGTTTGAACAAGTTCCGATGTCGCGCACTTGTTTGTTTTTGTACACATTGTGAATCGCGTCACGGGAACCGTACCACGATCTACAACATGTGTGTTTTATTATTGTTTGAAGTTATGATCGAGTCACATGAAATGCACACCCGAATTAGAGATTATGTATCACGACTATGCCACGAGAACCGTACCCATAACCGTGATGATTTAATTACGTACCTAAAGCAAACTACGATGTTCGAAAGATGTTTCACGCACAGCTAACTCTCAAATGAAAGTGTGATCTTGTATATAAAAATAAATTTCTTTTATTCAAATGAACTGTTGTGACTTTGTTGAAGTGTTTGTTCATGCACGGATGCACCCATTTACTTAAACTTATTTTCTGCAACATTCATGATTGTGCTTAAAGACTTTAGGGATACATATATCTCAAGATGCCTAATATTTAATTAACTTAAACCATTTTAATCAAGGGTTGTAGATCAAGATTAACAAAACATTGACCAAACTAAGGATGAAAACAAAAGTTCATTTGCGCTACTGGTCTATATCTGCATTCATGTACGTCGTCAAAGTTGAAAGTGAAACTTAATTTGCAAATGGACAGAATAGGGAGCTTTTACTCTTGAGATGAACTAAATGACATGTCAATTGGGCTGAAGTCCTAATCTATATAGAGAATATCAATTTACAGCCAATACAGCAACCTAAAAAAGAGGACGATGATGGTCTTCCATAGTTAACATGAATGACACATAGACAGAGCATACTATTTCTGTATGCTCTCAACGTTAAACCATCCAAACTAAAAACATCCAACAATTGTCTTCTATTTGGAAGCTAATCCAGCTAGTCGGCAACCGTATTAGGGAGAGTGATTTTAAATTCCTAATACTCATCAAATGACACATATCCATCTATTTTAATTGTATAGGGTCAAAATCAAGAAGCCCGATTTCGAAGTCTTAAATTGGGTTACGAGTTCGAGTCTGGGCGACTCGAGGTAGGGGTCGGACCCGACTGAAGGCTATGCACCTCGAGGAAGCAGATCAAAGGTCGGGCATGACCCACATCGAGGGTAGTATAATCTCGAAGACATTAATAAAAGATCGGGAATTTCTCAAGGACACGTGGGTCAGGACATAAATTAAAGGATAAGATTTGTACGAAATGGTACAGGTCCGTACTAGGTTATTGTACACCTGTACCAATAGAATTCTTTACTGCAATTCGGAATGTACTATATTGGCGTTTTCTCCTCCTATATAAAGGGGACCCAATCATTTTGTTAGGATCATCTCACATTATTCACTGAAATAGAATATTCTACTCTGCTTTTCTTATTTACCGTGCTCACCAAGTGTTCTTCAGCTTTATTGCTTTTACTTTATTTTTCATACGCCATTGCTCTTAGCTGACCTCGAGGCTACCAAGAAACCCGAGCTTGAGGTCCTCGTTGTTATAGTAACTCTTGTTTGGTTCATCAATTCTTCTTATTTAAACTTGATATTACTTGTATATTCACTAGTATTAGAATAAATCACATATCTGTAAAACCACAAATTACATTTAATTGTTACCCCCATTTTTTGAGGTAAACAGTTTGGCGCCCACCGTGGGGCCAAAGATAATAATGATTATTTTAGTGCTAGTTTTCTGATAACACACGTTATTCTTCACACTTTTTCTTGTCAAAGAGTCTTTGATTTCAGGTTAAGCTATGTCTAGCACGCAAAACGCACCTGCTCGTGACAGTGAGGAACTCAGAGAAAACAGCGGTATAGGGGTCAGTGTTTCGCCCATAAACCCTGGGGGAGTGCCTAACGTGGAGCCAGTTGATATCAGTTCGCACAACACTCTAAACACGGACGCAGGCACAGACCCCGTAAGGAATGCACACAGGGAAGCCCAGGTCGGAGGCCAGGAAACACGAGGAATGGATGAAGGAGGAGTCAGCCTCCTGGTGATATTTGAAATGTTGCAAGCCCAGCAAGTCGTCATTGCTCAACTTTAGAGTCAGAATAAAACCCCCAACACAGCCGAACCAGTGCACACTCGGCGTCCAGAACCAATGAGACCCGACGAAAATGGCTCAGGGACTAACCCCGCTATTATGAAAATGCTCGAGGATCTCGCCAAAATGATAGAGACTGGAGAAAAGAAAATTGAAGAAAATGACAAAAAGGTCGAAACATACAACTCGAGGGTCGACCAGATACCGGGAGCACCTCCAATTTTAAAAGGACTGGATTCGAAGAAGTTCGGGCAAAAACCATTCCTCCAGAGTGCGTCTCAAAAGCCCGTCCCGAAGAAGTTTCGGATGCCAGATATCCCGAAATACAACGGAACCACTAATCCCAATGAGCACATTACCACATACACTTGTGGGATAAAAAGGAATGATTTGGAAGATGATGAGATAGAGTCAGTTTTGCTAAAAACGTTTGGGGAAACTCTGTCTAAAGGTTCCATGATTTGGTACCATAACCTACCCCCGAATTCTATCGATTCGTTTGCCATGTTGGCAGACTCATTTATGAAGGCACATGGCGGTGCCATAAAAGTTGCAACGAGGAAGTACGATGTATTCAAAATAAAGCAAAAGGATAACGAGATGTTGAGGGAATTTTTATCCCATTTTCAATCAGAACGAATGAAGTTACCACCAGTCTCCGATGACTGGGTCATACAAGCCTTCACTCAGGGGATAAATGAATGAAGTTCGATAGCTTCGAAGCAGTTAAAGCAGAACTTGGTCGAGTATCCCGCTGTGACTTGGGCGGATGTGCATAACAGGTACCAATCAAAAAATAGGATCGAGGATGACCAATTGGGAGACCCCTCGGGCTCAGTTTATCCAAGCAGGTTACTAGCAAGGGAGTCAAGAAATGCAGATAGGGGATCAAGATTCCACAAAGAACGGTATCAACCATATGCCGATTGAAAGAACAACGGTCCGAGTCACAACACCTCTCGGAGTGATCGAAGAAGTGACCGAGGCAAGGTTCACGAGGGCTCATGAGCAAGAGCGGGTTCGATAAGCACGTCAACCCCGCCGATGTCCCCCGATTAACAGAATATAACTTCAACATAGATGCATCAGGGAACGTCTCAGATATTGGGAGAATCAAAGATGCTAAGTGGCTCGGGACAATATAGACCAATTCCTCCCAAAGGAACCCGAACTTGATGTGCAAGTATCATGGCACGCATGGGCACATGACCAAAGATTGTAGGCAATTAAGGGAAGAAGTGCCTAGGTTATTCAGTGAGGGCCACATTCAAGAATTCCTAAGTGATCGGGCTAAGAATCACTTCAGGGAGAGGGATGGAAGCATAAAGAATGAACCTGAAGAACCTCAACATGTCATTCACATGATCATCGATGGAGTCGACGACCCACAGGGACCTGTATTCAGACGTACCAAGGTATCCATCACAAGGGAGAAACATACCCGGGATTACATGCTCGAGGCACCCTCACATTCAGCGAGGAAGACATTGAGGCTTTATCTCAACCTTAGAACGATGCACTAGTAATTTCTATCCTTTTAAATAAAGTTCAAGTTAAACGTGTCCTCGTGGATCCAGGTAGTTTGGAAAATATAATCAGGTCAAGGGTCGTGGAGCAGCTCGGGATGCTCGACAAAATCATACCGGCATCTCGGGTCTTGAATGGCTTTAACATGGCAAGAAAAACAATGAAGGGAGAAATCATCCTCCCAGTCAACGTGGACGGAACCATACAAAACACCAAATTTCATGTCATTGAAGGTGACGTGAGGTATAATGCTTTGCTTGGAAGGCCGTGGATCTATAGCATGAGAGCGGTGCCATCGACCCTTCATCAGATGATGAAGTTCCCAACGAAGGATGGCATGAAAATAGTATATGGAGAGCAGCATGCAACTAAGGAGATGTTTGCAGTGTCACCAGAGCTGTCACATTAACAAGCTCAAATTCTTAAAACCTGAACCAGAGATTCTGGGTTCTTATCCCCAACAGAGTCGCCAGAGCTGTCACACCTCCTTTTTTTTCCGCAGGGGGATAGGGAGTTTTTACAATTGATGTGACATTAATCGAAATGAGATTATTATTTATTTCAAAGTCGCCACTTGAGATAATTTCATGGTGTCCCAAGTCACCGATTTATTTTAAATCCAAATCGAAGAAATTGACTCTATTTATGGTCCGCGAACACAGAAGATCGGGTAAGGAATTCTGTTAACCCGGGAGAAGGTGTTAGGCATTCCCGAGTTCCGTAGTTTAGCACAGTTGCTTTAAAATCCACACTTGGCTTATTAATTGTTTTAATTATGTATTTTAAAAATCTATGTACATTTTACCTTTTACCGCTTTTAATTACTCGATTATTCATGATTACTGAATTATCTTGAAACGAGTCACGCGTACGTGTATTCGTCTTATTTGGTATGTCAAAGTCATGTCACATGTAGGTGTACACAACTAATGACACTTTATTGTTATTTAAGAAAGCTTTGCCAAAGCCGCGCGAACGCATACCTCGATTTATTTTTAAAACGGATCACATGTGGGTAAATCCGCTTTATTTGGGGCGCTAAAATCATGTCACGCGAATGTGTACACAATTAGTCATGCTTTATTAATTTAAGATTGTTTGGATGAATTCACGAACCCATACCTCGGTTTAATTTTGAAAATCGTAATTATATCACGCGAACGTGCACACGATTAATAATATTTTATTATTATTAAGATTAATTGGCCGAAGTCGCGCAAACACATACTTTGATTTATTTTGAGAATAATAATTACGTCACGCGAACATGTACACAATCACGATAATAGATTTTAAACCGCGCCTAAAGCATTCTACAACGTTCGAAAGATGTTTCACACACAACTTAGTCTCAAATGAAAGTGTGATCTTTTATATGAAAATAGAATTCTTTTATTCAAATGAACTGTTGTGGCTTTGTTGGAGTGTTTGTTCATGCACGGATGCACCCGTTTACCTAAAATTATTTTCTGCAACATTCATGATTGTGCTTAAAGACTTTGGGGATACTGGTACGCCCCGCAAAATTACACCGATATTACGTCTCGCAGTATTATATTACGATAATATTACATCTTCCAGTATTATATTACGATGATGTTACATCCTGCAGTATTATATTACGATGATGTTACGCCTTGCAGTATTACATCACGATGATGTTACGCTTCGCAGTATTAAATTACGACGATGTTGCACCCTGTTGTATTGTAAGTTGAATTTGTCGTTTGGTAATTGACATCAGTCCAAGGAAAAGATTATTTGGAGTTTATAAGGATTATGCTATTTCACAAGTGATGAGTAAATTCGTAAAGATGAGAGGGGAAGCAAGTCAAAGAAAATAAATTTTTGTCCAAGTTTGGCATGTTGGGATAACATACGGGCCGATCGTTAATACCCGGTATTTATGGACTAGTGCCATACAAGGTACTACATGATCATAATAGTAAGATATATAAGGTGTGTTAAAAGTGAATAGTATTTTAAGTAATTTGAGATAATTCTTAATTATATGGATAATTGGGTAATTATTGGTTAATGGAGGATTAATAATTAACTAAGATGTTGGTGGTTGATTGGTTGAGGATGGATAAGCTAAAAGGTGGCAGCCATAGAGGTCTTGAATAAATGACTTATTAGTCACATGCCAAGGTGGCTTATTTAGGTAAATCATGGGACTTACAGGTTGTTTGGATGGTTGTTCCACATTGTATTGTATTGTATTGTTATCCCAAAATAATATTTGTTTTGATTGTTTCATTAAAATTGATTGTATTGTATTATTAAACCCATTGTTCCGGAACAATATAAAGTCCCCTTTTTTGAAACAATCGATATGGTGTGGTGGGATTGTTTCCTATTTTTTTTTCCAATTATGCCCTAACTTATTACCCACAATTCTATTTTACCCTTTAATTTTTTTTTCTATTTTAACTCCAAATCTCCAACCTATGACCTATTTTGTTTTTTTCCAAAACTTCTGCGGCCAACGTTAAAGGTGTTTTGTTGCCTACTGTTTTATTTTGTTTTCCTAATTTTCTTTTAACTCAATTTTACTTAGTTGTGCTCCTTTGTTTTTCCTTCTTCTGTCTCACTCCTTTGTTCTGCTTTCTTAAGGTGTTTTGTCTTCTTCTGTTATATTTTTTAAAATTATTTTATGCATACTTTTTGATAAATTTAATATTTAAATAATTGAGGGTATTTTAGTAAACTTATCAGTTATAGTACAGTATGATACAGTCAAACCAAATAGCAAAATATTATTTAACAATAACAAACAATACATTGTATCCGAACATTGTATTCATAAAACGATACGATACAATACGATACAATACAAAACAATACATTATAAAACGATGGAGAACAATGATTCAAACAGAGTGTTAATCATCAAAGATGTAGGGACCACACCCACTTAGTAAAGACATTTCAAAGAATTAAGAAAGGGATGTTTGAATCAAGAACTCAAGGTTACTGCTGGTGAAGCTCACAACTTTGAGAAATTTCACAAGACTTCTCCAACTCAAAGTAACGTAAGGGATTTCATAAGACTTCTCCAATTCATACAATGATCCAACGTTAGCAACGTGAATCCAACGAGATTCCAACAAAATTTCTTAGCACCTTAGCAACATGAGATTTTCCAATTTTAAGAAAGTACAATGCAATCTTTATCAAGAAAATCGGTTCAGTTATGTTAAGGCTATCCCTTCTTTCTTTTGGCATGATCCATACGATACAAACGAAACGAGCAAATGCACAGCTTTCATAAATGATTCTATTCATAGAAGTACTAGAAGTGCTTATGTTCTTGATTCCCCATGTGTCATATTACTCTATCATCTCTTCATGAGTCTTAAAAAATACGTATTTGATAAAGTTTATCTGAAAGGCATATTGAGGTTTATGGCATTCCGATAAAATCTTATTAACGTATTTCTTATGCATTTCATGCATTTATACATGTACATTGACCTATAACTCAGACGGCGTTATATATGCTTATATATATATAGCCTCCAACCCGTTTTAAGTCATTTTTTTCAGTATATTCAGACCTTATAACCCTAGAAACACCCTCTCAATATATATATATATATATATATATGGGATATGGAAAAAGTTTACGGCGTTATATACGTACCACCACCTGATCAGCTGGTATACGTTGGTGATTTTTTCCATAGTGGCCGAGATGATATGATGGGATGCCCTCAGAGGCTGATGATGTTATGAAACATTTACCTATGCAAGACATGACATTCATATGTATATGCTTGACACTATAAGTATTTCATGAATTACAAAGTTTTCCAGACTTACTGGTTGAGTTATTTATTCTATATTTCTTCCATGTCTGTTATGTACTTATTTATGTGCCTTACATACTCGGTACATTTTTCGTACTGACGTCCCTTTTGCCAGGGGATGCTGCGTTTCATGCCCGCAGGTCCCGATAGACAGGTCGAGAGCCCTCCAAGTAGGCTATCAGCTCAGCGAAAGATGTTGGTGCGCTCCATTTTCTTCGAAGTTGCTTGTTTGGTTAGTAGGATTTGGACGTGTATTGTTTGGTATGGCGGGACTCTGTCCCGACCTTTATGAAAATTATGTATTCTTAAAGGCTTGTAGACAGATGTCATGTACGTAAAAGATTGTATGGCCTTATCGGCCCATGT